TTGTTCACGTTTGAACTAGCTGCGGCTGATCTCATTCATCAAAGACAACCCACCCCCTCAAGACGGGGAGGAAGGGAAAGTGCAGAAAGGTTGAGCAGGGCAACTGGGGCCTCAATTAATTACCTGTTTTTTTCTTTTTAAGTGATGCCTGATCTATGGGTGCAATAGGGTCCTCTTTCTTGTTGCATTAAACCGCCATATGTCGGCCGCGGGCCCTGCACGCCAAGCATTTGGGATGTATCTGGTCCGCTCGCGTGCCCAGGGCTGGCCTCCGTGTGAACCGGCCCGCAACTTTTTTTTGCCTGGGAAAGGTACTTGCCGTTTAATAGAACTTTGTCGGACTGTCAGATTTTGTGACTTCATCAAGCGTGAAATGTACTACACAGTGGGCCTCGCTGCACTACTCCCGAAATGTGCAAAACGAGAGTGAATCTTCCGCTAGAATACGGAAAGATACACCACCGCCACGATTTTTATCTGTTGTGCATTTCGAGAGTAGTGCAGGGAGGCCCAGTATCTTGCTGTGTAAAGTTTTGTCAGTGTTTATGAGCTGCTACTTCTCCCTTTCTTTTTTTTTCTTTTTTTTTCCGTTTTGGGGGATTCTCTTCTTTGGCTGGTAACTTGGGGCCTAGTTTCACTACTCGCCATCCGCCAACATTTTGAACGCATGTGGACACACAAACATAAGTCCAGATACATTCGAAATGCTGGCGGATGGCCAGTAGTGCAACTAGGCCCTTGGTGTGTGGGGTGGGGGAGAAGGGGGAGGGGGGGGGGGGGGGGGGGGGGGGGAGGGGGGGGGGGGGGGGGGGGGGGGGGGGGGGGGGGGGGGGGGGGGGGGGGGGGGGGTGAAGGCAGTGAGGGGAGGCAGCACATAATCCTTTACATTCAAGTATAAAGACTATGGGCCTGGCTCCACTACCCACCCTCCAAATGTGCAAAATGAGAGTGTATCTCCCCCTAGAACATGGAAAGGTACACCGACATGATTTCCGTCTTTTGTGCATGTCGTGAGTAGTTGAGTAGTTGAGTAGCGGAGCGAGGTCCTGTATCTCAGGATTAGTAGCCGAGTAACAGTGCGGAGTCTGCGGGCCTCGCTGCACTACTCTCGAAATGTGCAAAACGAGAGCGAGTCTTGTGCTAAAAGATGGAAAGATACACCACCATGAATTTTGTCTTTTGTGCATTTCCAGAGTAGTGCAGCTAGGCCCTGTAACATGTTCAACCTTTTTTTTTTTTTTTTTTTTTTTAATGATATTTCCGCAGGGACAATCGCATCCGTAGAGGGGCAACGCAGTCGGCCGAGGGAAAACTCAAACTACGACTTCCCTCAATGTATCTGACCACTTTCATGGCATGGCCTGGATGCATCGGACTACAACAATTACATCCATAAAAACGTTGGTAATGGTTAATAAGCGGTGTCATTTTCGGCAAATTTTGCACCGAAACTGCCATATTTCCCTGAAAACAAAAACATAAAATAAAATAAAATAAAATAGAAACGTTGCTAGCATCCAAGTGTGACTATGCCCTGAATCGGTTTACGAATAGGCACTACCGTCTTCCCCCAAACATAACGCACCCTAAAACTGAATGTATACAAGCTATATTTCCGGCAAGATACAGCCAAAATAAGGGTGTTTTGTGTTCGGGGGAGGACGGTAGCAACAACAAGATTAACAAGTAATTTAAATCAATTTACGAATAACCACCAGTTCGCAAGTCGAGCCTAAGTTGACAAAGCTACCTAGTACCTTCTTTTTCGTTTTCTGGTTTTTTTTTCTTTTCCCTACCTTCCAAGGCTCGCAAGCTAACTGTTTCTTTCGATACGTGCCTTCAAATCCCTGTCAATCTAGGCTACCAGAGTGGCCCGGGGTCACTTGGCCGGCCAGGCCAAATACAAACGAGGGGCTGTGACAAACTGTTTCGTCGGAGTTTCCGTTAAACCATAGGCAGAGAGAGAGAAGAGGACAACAAACGAGGGGCTGTGACAAAC